GGATCTGTCCATGGTAGATAACGATGCTGCCAAGAGTCCGTGGGAAGCCTCTATAGAAGGATCCAAGCACAGACCCGTGAGGGTCTGGAGCAAGGCCGGAGTCCTGCAGCAGAGCTTCTTACTATTCAAAACGCAGCTGCCGTTGCGCTGCTGGGCTTTGGTACAGACGTGGAAGCCCACCACGGGACATCCAGTACCCATGTGACTGTGGCTGCCCATCATGAGCTAAGTATTGGCAGACTCACCAAGTCATGTGGCCAGGCAGGCACAGAAGCAAGATGGTGAAGATGGCACCTTCAGGACCAGGCCCATCTGGAATCAGAGAGAGGCTCAAATCCAGACCCCAGGTCACCTGCCTCCATCACGCTGGTACTCCCCCTCAACTAGCTCATATCTGTGAACTCCTGAGCGGTGCGAGAGGGAGTCACTGCGACTGACCAAGGATAGGGAAACGCTTAGACCTGGCTCATTGGTGGGTCATCTTATTACGTTGGTACTAGGAAAAACAGACTACTGCCTAGCTCCAGTCCCACTCAGGGTGATGACAGAGAAATCCTCCCAGTGAGCAGTACACTTGATTTTCCACTTGGTAGAGAGAGAAATGGCCTGAGATAAAGATGTCCATGAAAAATGACTTGGAAGATTGGTCAGGGACCCAGGAGGCATCAGATTGGAAGGTCAGTAAAAAACGTTCTGTACCCAGTGGCGGTGTGTGGTGGGAGTTTGCTAGAGCACCAAGCAATTCCTGTCCACCGTGCAGTGTTCGAAAATTTAGATAGATTCTGACTATGTAGCATTCGTCCTTTTAAGACCTCACCCCACCTCAGACACCAGTCTCAAATCCAGGTCATTTTTTGTTTTTTTTGTCTTTAAGATTTTATACATTTATTTGACACAGAGAAAGAAAGCACACAAGCAGGGAAAGAGGCAGAGGGAGAAGGAGAAACAGTCTCCCTGCTGAACAAGGAGCCCGACTTGGGCTCCATCCTAGGACCCCGAGACCATGATTGGAGCCAAAGGCAGATGCCCCACCGACTGAGTCACCCAGGCACCCCTCAAATTCAGGTTGTTGCTTGTACCTCTTACCAACTGGCTATAAATCAGAGGTTCCCAAGACCCCCTCTGTAGGTTGGATTAATGTGTGGGAGCAGCTCAAAGGATGCAGAGACACTTACTAGATCATTGGTTTATTATAACTCGGGAACAGCCTGATAGACAAGGCATGGGGGAAAGGCACAGAGCTTCCATGTTCTTTCCAGGCACGCCACTCTCCCGTACCTCCAACCCAGGTCTCCAAACCCTGTTCTTTTTGGGTATTAAAGGAGGCTTCATTACACAGGCACGCTTTTTTAAAAAGATTTTATTTACTTATTTGACAGAGAGAGAGTGAGCCAGAGAGCGGGGCACAGGAGCAGAGGCAGAGGGAGAGGGAGAAGCACACTCCCCACTGAGCTGGGAGTCTGCCACGGGCCTCAATCCCAGGACCCCACATTCGGGAGCTGAGCGGAAGGCAGATGCTTAAGGGACTGAGCCCCCCAGGTGCGCCCACGAAGGCATGATTAGTCAGCTCACTGGCCATCAGCCATCGATTCCACCTTCGGCCCCTCCTCCCTCTGTGGACCTCAGGAAAGGAGAACTGAAAGTTCCAACCTTCTAATTATTCATTTGGTTCTCCTGGCAACCAGCCCCCATCCTTAGGTGTGGTCCCAAAGTCACCTCATTCACATAACAAAAGACACGTTCATTGCTCTCCTCACAGGAAATTCCAAGCATTTCAGGAGCTCTGGGCCAAAAACAGGGACAAAGACCAAATATATACACTTTTTTCATTATAAATCACAATGCTACAGTCAGAGACCAGAAGTTTTGGAGAGGTGCGTGGAGACATCTAATGTGCCTAGGGCAGTGCATAAAAAGGGACGTGGATTCCTGTGTCTCTGCCAGTGGCCCCCAGCAAAATGGGAACTCCACCTCAACCACCCCGCAAAGAGAGGGAACCCTGTGGTGGGGCTCAGCCGGCTTCTCCCCACAGCGGCAACGGCTCCGTGAAGGCAGTGGTCTTGGTGCAAGGGCTGGAGGTTCTGCACAAGCCCGGAAGGAAGAGTTTTCTTCCACCAAGGATGATCTCGATACTGCCACTACTGAATGCCTAACCGAGCCAGCAGAGAGATCAATGCTGAGCAATTGGTATGATGCCCGTTTCTCAAAAGGACCAGCCAGCCATTTGGTAGCAGGAAGGTTACATCAGGATTCCTCCCACGCTGGGGGTGGGGGGCAAATTAGTCACACTTAGGATGTGGATTTGCCTTCCCTATGCGCAGCACCTCTGCGAGCAATCCATCCGAGGGCGCACACAGCCCCTGATGGACTGACATGCTGTGCCACACAACACTGCTTCAGGGCGAGAGATTCACGGTGAAGTGTTCTGTTGAACTTGAAACAGAAGTTAGCATCTGGCCCACCTAGGCTCCTTGTGCCCGTGGACCATCCAGCCAAGAAAAGATTGTTATACTGGTGGGGCAGCTGACCCGGGGGGACATCAGGAGTGGCACTGCTGCTCTCTAAGGACAGCAAAAAGAATGCCTGCAACCGAGAACATTCGATCGGGTGTCTTTGTGTTTCGTAAACAGACACACAACTGTGGCCTGACAAGGAAGGTTGAGACCTATGCGGGATGAAGACCCAGTTGAAGCCTCCAGGAAAAACACCTAGACCAGTGATGCTTTCCAGGGACGAGGGAAATTCAGAACTGGTGATGGAGGTATAGTCAATCGTAAAATGGCCACAGAGTCCTAACCATTCGCGTGTTCGGAGACATTCCTATGCATTATGACTTTGTCACTCCTCCCATCAAGAAGTGGTCTATGCAGTCCTTGAATCTGGACTTTGCTTTGTGCGGTGAGTAGAATGATGTCCTCCAAAATGTTCAAGTCCCAATCTCTGGTATCTGTGAATGCGATCTTATTTGGAATTAGACTCCTTGCAGACGTAATCATGTCAAGAGGAGGTCATGCTGGAGGAGGGTAAGCCCTAAGTCCAATGGGCCGTGTCCTTATAGAACAAAGGAAAATTGGAAACACAGAGGAGACACGAGGGGAAGAAGGCCATGTGAGGACATGCAAAAACTGGAGTGACAAGGAACAGCCAAGGAACAGCAAAGATTGCTGGGAGCCACCAAGAACCTAGGAAGAGGTAAAGAAGGATCCTCCCCCAGAGCCTTCAGAGGGAGCATGGCCCTACCAACACCTTGATTTTGGACGTGGAACCTCCACGACTGTGGAAAAGCACCTTTCCGTTGTTTTAAGCCACCAGGTTTGTGGTCCTTCAGCATGGCAGTACCTTCTTTGGGTTTGGGGTAGACAATTCTGAGATGCCCTCTATCCACCTCCCAGCAAGGTCAAGTCTCAGCAGCTCGGAGTGCCCACCAGCTTGAGAATGTACCTTTGAACTGGCTTTCATCCCGAGACCACTGTCCAGCACAAGGAACCTGTACACCAGCCCTTGTCTCAAGGTCTGCTTTTCCACTCATTTCTTCTGCAGACTGGGAGCAGGCCCACCATTCCTGATTCCCAGCCTCTCACCCAGCAGTCAGGGCGGGGAAGGGCTTTGGAGGGGCCTTCCCCAACCGCCGCTGTCTAATTAAACAGCTCCTAGTGGTTAATGATTCGTCATTTGCTAAAGCCTGGAAATGAAGCGTGCGGCAATTTAATCAAGTGAACTTCAGCCGGGGGGGCCTGGGCTCAGCAATTCTCCCGGGCACCCCATGGGAAACCAGTTCTCAGTCTGATGCTGCTTTCCAGGCACAGGCCTTCCCTCTCCAGGCCTGTCCGAGAGGAGAGGGCAGGCTGTGGGGGAGAAGGAGATGGAGGGAACGTCAAAGCGGGGTGCCTGAGCGTGGGCTGGGTGTGAGACACAGGTAGGCAGCAGACCCGGGTGGGCCAGCCCTGCACATGCGCAAGGGTCCTAGGGCACCCCAAGCCATGTGGCATGGCGGGCTCTCCACCACCTCTTCTTTTTATCTTATTTTAACAAAGGTGTCCGTTTAAACGACAGCGGGGGAACGGCCGAGTCGAAGGGGAGAAGCAGTTATTAAAGGGAAGTCGGAGGGAGGGGCAGAGGTAGTCGGGCTGCAGCGTGGAGGCCCTGGGAACCGGGCTGAGACCGCGACCCCCTCCCGAGGCCCCGAGCTCTCTGGGGGATCCCGGGGGACGCTTTTCCAAGCCGGACTCCTGCCTCCTGGGCCTGCAGCGCCTCGGCGGCACGTCCAGAGCCGAGAGCCGGGAGACTCGACGCCGGCGGGAGCGGGACGTCAGCCCCCCGCCCCCCAGCCGAGGCCCCGCCCCCAGCTCTCCGCGCCCGCTCCCGCGGCCCCCGCAGCTCGCGCTTGCACCCCGCCCAGCTCCCCTCCCCCGCGCGCGTGCCGCCCCGTCCCCGCGCCCCTCCCCCCCCCGCCGCCGCCGCCGGCGCGCGCGCGTGCCCGTCGTCCCGGGCGGGAGCCGGAGACTGCGGGGCCGACTGCGGGCCAGAGAGCGGGCGCCGGGAGCGCTGGGAGCGCAGCCGGGCGAGGCGGGAGCGTGGGCGCGGGCCTGGCCGCGGGCGGGGGCCGCCGCCGCGCCGCCGCCCCCCAGTCGGCGGGCCGGGCCGCGGCGCCGAGCGCGAGGGCCGGGCTCCCGGGACCGGTGGCCATGGGTGGGAGCCGGAGGCGGCAGCGGCAGCGGCAGCGGCGGGCCCCGCGGGCGGGGAGGCGCGCGGCCCACGGCCCCTGACGGCCCCCGGCGGCCCGGCGCGCCCCCGCGCCTCCTGGGGGGTCGTCGCCCAGCAACGCCCGGCGCGCCCGCCCATCCCCCGCTGCCCTTTTTCTCCTGAGGGTGTGAGGGAGCATGCCCGCGCCCGGCCTCGGGCTGCCCAGTTAACCCGAGGGGCGTGGAGCGGCCCCTCCCTCGGGGGCGTCCCCCCTCCCCCGCTGAGCGGCCCGCCCCCTGCGCTAGGGTATGGCCCCCGGCCCCGGCCCGGGACCCGAGGTCCCGCACTCCGGCCAGTGAAAGGCGTTTTCCCGTTCCCGCCCTCCTCCCCTCGCTGGCCAGCACCATGGGATGTAATATGTGCGTGGTTCAGAAACCGGAGGAGCAGTACAAAGTGATGCTTCAGGTAGGGGCCGCTGGGGCGGGGTGGGGGCGTGGGCGCCACCTGGGAAAGCAGCGGGCGGCAAACCTGGGAGGGCTGAAGAGCTCGGAAACGAAGAGGTAGGGAGCCATTCCCGCCCTCGATTTCTGGGGCTGCTGGGTGTTGGCGCTCCGTGGGAACCAGTCACAGACGGGGGGAGCTGCGTGGGGATGGGGTGCAGGGCGCATCCCTTGGGCGCCCGGCGTAGGTGGGGACGTGAACCCTGGGTCCAGATCGGTCTGGCTCGGGAAGTTCGGCTCGGCCTGTTCCGGCGCGCTTGCACCCCGGGCCCGGGAGTCCGGAGGCGCGGTGCTGCCGGCGCCGGCGCGGGATGGAGGTTGCATAGCAACGGGCTCCGTTCCCTGCACACGCTCGCCCCGCTGGACCCAGGGCGGGGGAGGGAGAGGGGCCCCCGCGGCGCGGGGGGGCAGCCAAATCCAGGGCCCCGAGGACCAGGGGCGCAGGAGCGCGCGGGCGGTCTGGGGCCGGGGCGGTTATCCCGGCCCCCACTCTCCGCTCCGGCCCTGCCTAGATGGCGGGCTCCCAGACTGGGGTGCCGCGGGCTCAGCGAGCGGAGGGCGATCTGCAGGCAGCGGTGTCTGGCTCGCTCCCTGCCCTGCAAGGCCTCGGGTCCGGGGCCGCGGGGGGCGTGGACCGAGATGTGCTCTGCGGGGCAGGAGCGGATATGCCCGGCCGCGCTCTCGGAACCCAAGCCCAGCCCGGTGGCCCGGAGCGGGGCTTCCTTGCTTGTGCGTGGCGTGACTTCGTGAGTGCGTGCTTGTGCCCCGTCTGTATGTGCGCGGAGGCTCCTCCGGCCCCGCGTGTGTGTACTTTCTGTGTGCGCTCAGAGAGGTGTCTAGGGAAATGTCCCGCATGGTGTGGCCTGAGACGCCCCCGGGGCTAAGTGGAGGGAGTTCAAGGTCGGAGGGAGTCGGGATCCAGGGGCAGACCCAGCGCGGACAGGTATGCACTTCGATTCCGGGTTTATGGGTCAGGACTGGGGAGCAGGCGCTGGTCGGTGCGGTGCTGGCTGGGGGAATAGGGTCTCCTTAGAAGAATGGGGGAACTCCTGTAAGCATCCGCGGGGGCGCGGTGTGTGTGGGGGTGGGGGAGGCATCGGAGGCCGCGGGAGCCCAGCTCCGGGGCTGTGAGCCCGGTTCTGGTCCCGGTGAGCGGGAGGCGGAGGGAGGGCGTCTCGTGCTCTGCCCTGGCAGCGCCGTTCGGCTCCTCTCCGAGGCCCTGGCTCCCCGGGCGCGCGCGGCCCTCCGCTTTGCCCGCTCGCTGCCCCTCGCCTTTCTTCCATTCTCGCCGTCCGCCCCCGGGCTGTTCCTCTCGTCCTGTTCCCGGCCATTGTCATTGCCCGCTCGTGGAATCGGGCTCGGTAATAACTCGCGCTGGGACCGAAACGCAGCCCCTCGGAATCCCAGTGGCGGGCACCGGGGCTTCACTGGTTGGTGGGTGACGCCGTGGGATCCCACCCTCTCTCCTTCCTTTCTTGGAATTATTTCACCAAATGGCAAGCGATTCCAAAGCTCTTGGCTCTTGACTTCCTCAGAGAGGGATTGAGGTCGTATTTCATTTAAGACCGATCTCACAGGGTTGCGTGGAACGAGAAGGGTGACCTGCGCCGCCCTGCAGGCTTTGAAACGATTGGTAGTTGACGGGGCAACGCCGAGGTGACCCTTCGGGCTCCCCCTGGCAGTGAGGGAGGGAAGGCTGCCGCAGGTGGGGCAGGGACCGCCGTCAGGGAGGCTCCGTGTTGGGGGAGGGCTTGAGATGGACCTGGGCAGGAAAGTTCGAAGCCAGGCTTTCCTTGAGAGAGAGCCCCAAGCCCTGGGCAGAGAAGTCCCCAGAGGAGGGCCTGCATCCCAGCTGCCCTTTGCCGTTTCCTGGTCGGGGTTGCAGCCATCGCAGACCGGTCTCTGGGGGCGCTGCCCCCTTTTAAAGCTCCTGAGGAAGTTTGGGCAGAATCAGAACGTGGATGCACTTTTAAAAGAGGAACGACCCTTTAAAAATGAAGGCGCGGGGAGCCTGGGTGGCTCAGGTGGTTAAGCGACTGCCTTCGGCCCGGGTCATGATCTCAGAGTCCTGGGATCAAGCCCCGCATCGGGCTCCCTGCTCAGCGGGGAGTCTGCTTCTCCCTCTGACCCTCCCTTCTAATGCTCTCTCTCACTCTCTCTCAAATAAATAAATAAATAAAATCTTAAAAAAAAAATGAAGGCGCGGCCTCGAGGTGCGGGGGGAGCTGGGTGGCTTGGCCTCTTATTAACACTGACCCTCCATTTTGGCTCAGGTCCTGATCTCAGGCGGGTGAGATGGAGCCCCAGCCTGGGCTCGTGTGCTGGCTGTGGAGTCTGCTTAAGATTCTCTCTCTCTCTCTCCCCCTCTAAAATAAATAAGTAAACAAAATAAAATTAAAGGGAGACAAAAGGAGATCGAATAAAAAGGAGCTGGAAAGCAGGGAAAACCATTGGTAGTCCCAGATGACCCGGTTTCTGGGGGCTGGAATCCCAGGCACAGCAGGGAGAGCATTTCCTGGTCCAGTCCGGTCCTCTTCTCAGAGTAGAAAGAAGCTTCTGTCCCAACAGACCAGTCAGAGCCCTTGCTTGGCTCCCGTACTCCCCTAAACCCTGGTGCCCCCCCTAGCGTAGTGGTGCTTCTCCCTGTCCTGTCTTTGTCTGCCTGTGGCCTCTGCGCCCCGCAAGAGTGAGGGACCTGGGCGGGGCCCGGCACAGCCCAGAGGGACGCTCGCGCAGGCCCTGCACCGCTTGCCCAGGGGCTTCCATGTGCCTTGGATCCCCCAGCCCCCAGCTTGAGAACCCCAAGTTGTCTCTTCTAGCCTTGACTTCCAGGCCCTTTTCTCGTGGTGGCTCGCAGGCACGAGACCGGCTGCAGCTTTACTGAGCCTGCCCTGAGGAAGTGTGCGGTCACTAGTCGTGATATGTTGAGAGCTGTGCAGCCATCCCTGCTGTCTCCTTCCAGAACAGTCATCACTCCGGAAAGAAAGCCCGTCTTTAGCAGTCCTGTTTCCCCTAACACCTCTCAGCCCCTGGCCACCACTCACCTCTTTATGGATTTACCGGTTCCAGACATTTCATCTTAATGAACCTTATGAACCATACAATATGTGATTTTTTTTTTTATGTGTGGCTTCTTCCATTTATCATGTTTTCTTAAAAAAAACTTTTTTTTAAAGTAATCTCTACCTCCAACGTGGGGCTCAAACCCATGACCTAAAATCAAGAGTTGCGCACTCTTCTGACTAAGCCCTACCCAGGTACCTGCTGGATTTCTTTCTAGTGCTGAATTATACCCCATCGCGTCAGTGTGCTGCATGGTATGGATGGACACTGGGGTTGCTTCTACCTTTTCCAAATTGTGAATAATGCTGTTGTGAACATGGATATACAAATATCTGAGTCCCTGCTTTTATTTTAGTTTTTTTAAAAAGATTTTATTTATTTATTTATTTATTTTTTAAAAGATTTTATTTATTTGACTGAGAGAGAGCGATCCCAAGTAGGCGGAGAGAGAGGGGGATGCAGGCTCTCTGCTGAGCAGAGAGCCTGATGCGGGGCTAGATCCCAGGACTTGATCTCGGGACCCTGGGATCATGACCTGAGCCAAAAAGGCAGAGGCTTTAACCCACTGAGCCACCCAGGTGCCCTGGTTAAGTTTCTATATGAAGTGTAGGATCAGCTTGCCAGTTTCTAAAAAGAAGGCAGCTGCAGTTTTGTAGGAATTGAATTTGTGCATCGATTTGGGCAGAGTATTACCCATGAACATAGGATGTCTTTCCACATGGGTCTTCCGTTTCTTTAAATGATGTTTTGCATTTTTGTTACATTTACTGCTGATTGTTTTATTCTATCTGATGCTATTGTGAGTTGAATTGTTTTCTTTTTCATTATTTTTAAAATGTTTTTAAAATTAGATTTTATTTATTTATTTGATATTTATAGAGAGAGTCCGCACACAAGTGCAGGGAGCAGCAGAGGGAGAGGGAGAAGCAGGCTCCTGGCTGAGCAGGGAGGCGGATACGGGACTCCATCCCAGGACTCTGGGATCATGACCTGAGCTGAAGACAGTCGCTTAACCACCTGAGCCACCCAGGTGCCCCTTAAGATTTTTAAAAGTTAATTCATTTAACCCATCTCTCCACCCACCATGGGGCTCGAACTCACAACCCTGAGATCAAGAGCAGTGTGCTCTTCTGACTGAGCCAGCCTGGAATTGTTTTTTTTTTTTCTGTTTTCTTTTTAAGATTTATGTATTTATTTGAGAGGAGAGAAGCAGACAGACCCTGTCCTGAGCAGGGAGCCCAACTTGGGGCTCGATCCCAGGACCCTGAGATCATGACCTGAGCCGAAATGGGTCAGACGTCCGGGAGGCTGTTTTCTTCACTTACTTTTCGTCTTTCTCATTGTTACTGGGTAGAAATGCAGTTGGTTTTTGTATATTGATCCTTTGTGCTGCAACCTCACTCAACTCATTTATTAGCTCTCATCGCTTCTTAGTGGATTTTGGAGGATCTTGAATGTGTGGGATTATGTCAAGGGCAAACTCAGATACTTTTCCGTCTGCTTTTCCAACCCAGGTACCTGTTCTTTCTCGTTCTTGCCCACTTGCTCTGGCTAGAATCCCCCGCAGGATGTTGAGTAGAAGCGCTGAGAGCAGGTGTCCTTGCCTTGCTGCTGATCGAAGAGGGAAGCTTCCAGACTTCCACCAGTGACTTACAACTTGCTGTAGGTTTCTCATAAATGCTCTTTATCGAGTCAGGGAAGTTCCCTTTTATTCCTAGTTTGGGTATTTTTATGATGAAGTGTCTAGGACGTTGTCCAGTGTGTTCCGGGTGGCTGCTGAGCCCCTCCTGGGTTTGGGCCCTTTATCCCCCTGCCACCGCCAGCCCCACCTCTGTCCCATTGGTGTGTTGACGCCCAGCGGGCGCTGGGGTGAGGGAGGGGGTGCCACACACCAACCAACTC